GGGGGGGGGGGGGAGGACACTAATATTATGTAATATAAGAACAAGTTACTAAATAAGAAGGGCCGATTTTAGATATACTATAAATGGAATTGAATACATTAAAATTGTGATTTTAATTCTAAAATGACTTCTAGGCATAAGTAACATTCCAAATTCCAGTCTTTTAAGTTAAAAATTTTAATTTAGTGTGAATGTCATATTCCAAACAAACACGTTAAAAGATTAATATGGGGAAATTTTGTTTGAAGATATATAGCATTACTCAAATTCAATCTATAGTCAAAGAGTTAGGGAGTTCCAATAAATGTTATCTTTTAAAAAATACTTAAAGATGTACAGTACAGTATATATTGCAAGAGTCAAAGGGATTGTATTTATAAATATTTATTTATTGCATTAATTGTTTTTATTATCCTTAATTAAGTGGAGATGTATCAATTAGTTATGTCGAAAGAGATTAATGTTCTATTTGAATTAGAAATAAAATAGAGAACAAAGAAATAAAAAAGAAAAATAAAAATATATGAAATTGTGTTATTTTGATAAATAAAAAAAATGATTTTTTTCTCTCTAATTATTTAGAAGAATGAAAAGTAGAGCTTTCAATTTTATCACAGACATTTAAGCGGATATTTACTTTTTAAAATATATAAAAACTGGGAGACCAATGATAAGCGGATGAACATTTAAGCGAAACATTAAAATAACAAATTTTATATAAAAAAAATTTAGAAGATTAAAATTACTGAATTAAAAATTGTAGACATAAATTAAGGATCGAATATCTTAAAATACTATTTATCTAAATTTAAATTTAAAATAATTTATTTTTTATATATAAAATATTAATAAAAATATATTTGTGCTTAAATTTTCATATATCAACTCAACCCATCATCACCCCTAATAGGATAAACACATTGAGAGAGTCTATTTTGACACTTTCTAATGAAAATAAATAAATAAGCTGTACAAAATATATTTTTATACGTAATAATTGGATCCTTTTTACTTCGTTATTTTTTGGTTAACATAGAATCATTTATTATTTTTGAAAATATAAAATAAATAAAATGAATTAAAGAGGGATGATTCTACTGTTTCATGCCAATATTGTGAACGGGGGAGTTTTTTTTATGAAACTATATAAAAATCATTTTTTATTTATTTAAACAAATAGTGAAATTTTAATATTTATCTTCTTTTTATTTTTCTTCCACCTTATTTCTATAAAAATAAATAATCTATAAGAGAATAGAATTCTAATAATTCAAAGGGCATTTATAAAATATAATAAAAAATATTAACGATTTTAACGTCACTAACTAAATTTATTAATTTTATAAAGTACCATCTCTGAACCTTTTTTATAAAACACTACTCCATATATACTAATAATAAATAAAATTATCCTATATTATTTTTTAATAATTTTCTCGCTACAATTATTTCTTAAATTACTTTTTATCTTTTTACTATATTTTATTTGGTTTTTATTTTTTATTTTTTACATTTCAAAATTATTCAAAAAATTATCCTTATAATTACAATTATTCAAAAATTGCTCACACTTTAATTGTTAACAGTTTACTTTTATTTTATTTCAGAAAATATACACAGATTCGATGTGTCTTTTTCTATAAATAACAATAAGTAATGATATTTATAAATACTTTGTTTTTATTAGTTGAGATTTATTTTAAAAAAATAAAGTTTGAGTTGATAGGTCCCACCATTCATTTAATAATCTCTTCTAATTTAATTGTAGGATTCACAAATTTTTATAAATTTTAATAATAATTTTCAACTAATAACATGGACATTCTTCTTAAGAAATGCTAAGGACATGTAAGATCACCAAATTTTAATAGATGTTGCGACTAAATTATGAAATATTCATTAAATAAAATATTACCTATATGTTTCTTTATAATATTAAAGTTTAGGATTTAGAGTTGTTTATATAATAGGACTTAAGGTTGTTTTAAATAAATTAATAAATATAATAAATTTTCTTATTTTTATAGAATGATTTTAATAATTTTTATTATACTCTCTTTTATTTTTACTTTATAATAAAACATATTTTCTTTTTTTTTTATAGAAAATACATATTAATAATATAACAAGGTTTCGACTTAAAGTTTAAAAATAAAAAGAAAAGGATGGTGTATAAGATTCAGAAATTTTTTAGTTTTCAATAAATTTTAATAAAAGTTGCCGAAAAAGAGAATGTGGTACCATTCCTCTTCCTCGTAAATCAAAAGATAATATAAAAAAATAAGTTGAAGAGATTTGATAATAATAGCGACGACTAATCGAGTTCTACATGCAAAATTTATCTAGGCCAAAATGAATTATCTCCCCGCAGAGAATAACAGAATGTTTAAGCTTTTGCGTTCATTGAAATCGCTGTTCTATTAAAAACAAAGAAGAGAAATCAAGAAATTAAAGAAGCGATTACCTGTTCGATTAACCGCTTTCGATGCCTCTGAAAAATTGATAGCGCATGCAACTGAGATTTATTTATTTATTTATTTATTTATTTTTGTTTGGGTCACCGCTTGGCAAAGCTGAAACTGATAAAACCTAGCATCTCCGTGGATCTTGTATCAGTCTCAACTCTTGAGTTTGGTTTGGCCTTGACCTTAACACGAAAAACACGGCATCACTGAAAATGAAACGCATCAAATCAGAAAAGACAAAAGGAGGGTTAGGGTATATATATCGTTGAGACTTGAGAGAGTGGGGAAGTTTGAAACTAAAACGCAGTTAGCAGTGGTAATGTAAGATTAACGTTGAAGACAGAACCTTAGTTGTGTTGATGTGAATGTTGAAACAGCGGTTAACGTTGTGTTGTGGTGTGTGGGTCATGAGAGAAGGAAAAAGCGTGTGGAGGGTTAAAATGAAGAAGTGGAAAGTGGGCCAAAAGAAGAAGAGATAAAAGGAATAAATAGAAAGGTTAGGGGTTGTGAGAAGAGAAAGGGGTTTGGCAGCATGGAGTTAATGCAGAGGGTGAAAAAGCATTTATGAAGGGGACGACTGGTGTAAATGGATATGCATAGAGTTAGATTAGAGCGTGATATGATATCACGCTTTTACTTTTTTTTTTTATTTTATTTTTCTGTCAGATATGGTGATTGGTGAATACCTTCTTTACAAAACAACTACACTACTACCACTTTGTATAAACCCTAGCCAGCCCCCTTTGCTTTTGCTACACGCATTTAGATTACCTGTTAAGTTTATTTATCCCCTCAATCTCATTTTCTTACAACCAAAGCAAAATATATATATGTTTTCTTCATAAAAACATATTACTACGTACATTCGTTTCATTTTATTTAAATTGTTTTCTTCATAAAACATATTTATATTTGTAAACAATTAGAATTGTTATAATCCGATACTAATAATTTTTTTATTATTTATCATAAAAAAATATTTCTAAAATAAATAAATGAATATGCATGCAAATTCCAAACATTTTTTTGAGGAAATTTCCAAACATGTTAAGAAATTTTGAAACAAATAAACTAAATATTTTATAGTCAATCGTGTAATTATTAATCTATTAACAATTCTCGTAATTAATTGAGATAGGAAATTTGTATCAATCACAACAACTCAACTAACTCAAACTATTCAATTGCTTGATTGAAGTAAGTTAAAAAAATAAACATTTAAAATAAAATAAAATAAAGTGTTAAAAATTATTCCTTTAATAAATTGATTCTTTTATAATTTAAACGTAAAATACTTGTCAAAATTATACGAGTCCTCATATTTAATTTGTAAACTGATGTAGAATTTCAATATTTCTAAGGAATTATCAGTATGATTATGATAATCAGTTACTAAGTAATTAAATAAATGATAAAAAATTATTGAATTAATTGACACATGAATATCTCTGAATATCACGAGACATAACATAATTTCAAACGACGTTTTTTTTTATAAACATAATAGATTGTATATATGTTTATTTCATAAAATAGTTCAACTTATTTTGATAATTACGCAACTTCGATACATTTATCTATTATTTATATAAAAAAATGCATCTATAAAATGTCTCAAGATTATAAAAAGAGAAAAAACATAACCAAATATAGAGTCAACTAAATTTGCTCTGATGTCACGAGTAAATGCACGTATTTTTAATTATTTTAATTTTGTAAATAGCATACAGAATTTCACTATTTTAAAATTATTAATTAAATAATTTTGATTATATATTACTTGATTTTTTCTGCCACATATATCTTCTAATTAAAAACTAAAAAATACATGTATGAAAATTTATTATACGGTTTGACCTCTCCCAATATGCATTTTTCAATTTCATACTTACGGATTTAGAGATCAAGCCCTATTTACACACTTATAAACATACTAGTAATTATTTACGATAATAATGCAATATCTTATCGTTATAGATGTTCATGCATCAGTTTAGTTTATATTTGGAGTAAAATAAGGCATAGTTTTAAAAAACGGACCGGTCATCGAACCGGTTAAGGTACTGGGTCAGTGGGTCAAAGGTTGAACTGGTGGGTCATTAGTTGAACCGCATGACTCGATTTTTATTTATTTTTATTAAAAAAAATATTCATATTAAATATATTTTATACTTATAAATTTTAATAAATTCATATCTTATTTTAAATTTCAATTTTTCTATCTTATTTAAAATTATTTTTATTTTTATTTTGTAAAAAAATACATAAAAAATTACATGTTAAACGGTATATTAATACAAATTAAAAATATAAATAACATGTACATATATAATATGCTAGCAATTAATATCACAAAATAATATATTTAATATTTACATAAATATTATATTATTAAATATATAATTTAAAATTATTAATATATTATAAAAGTTATTTAATTAAGTTGTATATATTGCAAACAAATATATTAGAACAAGTAGTCATTGTTATATTTAATAAGACTCCTTGCTTTTCCATTAAGAGATTCAATTTTCATTATTATTTTTGTGGTTTATGGTCCCTTAAAAAAATTTTAAAAAAAAAGAAAAAAAAGGGGTTGAAACAGTTTTACCCCCCGGTTCACCGGTTGAACCGGAAAATTGACCGGTTCAATCCGGTTTGAAACGGGTCAACTGCATAACCGATCTAACTTAAGATTCGGACCGGCTGGACTACCGGCTCCCGGTCCAACCGGTCTGACCGGCCAGTTCGGTCCGGTTTTTAAATCATTGAAATAAGGTTTAAACCAATTAATTTTGATTGATTTGATTTGAATTGAATTTACAATTTGAACTAAACCAAACTAATCAGAATAGTTTTTAATTTGTATTAATTAGTTTTCTTGAAAAAGGTCGACAGATTTAAAATTTTAAAATATAACGAATACATGGTTTTGTATATCTCAAACTTTGAATATAATCTATTATTAAAATATTGTAAATAACATTAGTATAAAAAAAAGTAATTTAAGAAAATATGAAATTAAAATAGTTGAATATAGTTAAATAATGGATACTATTGTTGATGGATGAGGAAATAGACGTTGAACGTAAGACACTAAATATGATAAATGTGTGACATAATGAATTCTGTAACTTGTATTAGTACAGTACGTACTAGATATGCATGGTTGGTGAGTAATTATGTTGAATGAGTTATGATGTATTATACTATGAATTAATCATCTATATATTATTAGTATAAAATTTTTCACACAATCAATCATATCTTTTAAATTATTTTATTTTTTATTTTTATTTATTAAATAAGCAAATGACATGACACTATTAAAAGATATAATTGGTTGACAGTGTAAATTTTTTTTTACAGTAACGATGTATAAGTGATTAACTCTTATACTATTAGTTGAATTCTCTGATCATTAGATTTGTTAAATACAAACCACCGACCAACACCCCTAACACCCTAATTACCTTAGTTAATGAAATAAGAATTCACATAAAATTTAATTTTGGATTAATTCATTTATAAAATTAATAAATTAATTACCGTAGTTAATGAAATAAGAATTCACATAATGTTTTAATTCATTATTTTTTTAAAGTTCAATAATTAAATTAAATTAAATTTAATGTTTTTCATTAATTTAAGTTAATATCTCTAATAATGGATCTGTTTTGTTTAAACTAAAAAAAAATTAAAGATTTTTTTTTAAAAATAATTCTTCAAGTAGTACGTAGATAGGATTGTTTCTTAAAAAAATATATTTTAAAAAAACAAAAGTTTAAACAGACACATAAAAGAGTAGAAAATTATTTATTTTATTAAAATATTTAAACATACATGTAGAAGAAAATATACAAAAATGTTTTGATGATGCCAAAGTGATTATAAAGCATTGAAGAAGAATCAAGGTTGAGCTAAAGCAAGTTGATGCAAGAACAAGATCTCAAGTGTTACATAGATAAGTCTTATCAACTTAGCTAAGAATGTAAAAGAATCTTTTAGAATTGCAAGTATGCTTGGCCTTGAGAATAAGTTTTCAAAAATCTCAAATTAATCTCTTTAAATTTAAACAAGTTTTAAATCTTTTGAAAGTAAGTAAAAATGTTTTCAAAAGACTTAACAAAAACTTTAAAGAATAGTTCAAATCATTTCTTAAAAGATATTTGTGAAAGAAATTATTGAGATGAAGTTTTCTACATAAAAGTTTTTGAAACAATAAAAAAAATATGTTATGGTAATCCATTACCAGACCTTGTAATCCATTACCAGAACAGGAAACTTCAAAGTTCAAATTCTGAATACAAAGTATGTTCTGGTAATCGATTACCAGAAGATAAAATTTCAAAATTTGAATTTAAATTATACAACGTTTCAAACATTTTGAAATTAAACCGTTGTAATCGATTACCAAGTCTTGTAATCGATTACCAGAGCCTATTTTCTGAAAAATTATAGAAAGTTACAACTCTTCATAAAAAGACATTACCTAAGAAATAATTGTCTATAAATACCTATAATTTTTCAGAGAAAGGTGACGAACTCTATTGTTAAAATCATTTACAAAATCTACTTGGCCAAAATCATTTGCAAAATCTCTAAAGAGTTATTTAAGATCATGAAAGTGTGATATCCACTCTTCAAGAGAGTTATTCTATAAAACTCAATAGATCATTGGATCTGTAAAGGAGAAAAGGTTTTTCTCCTTGTTGGTGTTTGAATCTCAACACAAGGAAAGAGAGTTCCGAGGTGTCGGAGGATTCAATTCTTGTAAGGTTTACAAGAGTAGTGGAAATCTCAAGTGGGAGACTTGAGGACTGGATGTAGGCAAGATTGGCCGAACCAGTATAAAATCAAGTTTGCAATTCTTCTTTCCCTACACTTTTAATTTATTGTTATTAATTGCAATTGTGTAGTTTGCATCATCATTCGCTCTTTACATACAAATTTGTCTAAGGAAATAAATTGATAAGAATGTAATTTGGAAAAGTTTTTAATAAGAAAAAAATTTAGAAAACTTAATTCACCCCCCTCTTAAGTTAATTGAGGCTAAGTGAATAACAATACAGATGCAACATTTAAAAAAATTACAAATGCATACCTGATGATGAGTTATGTGGCATGACTTTCTGGAGGCAAAACATTACTGTTGTTCCAATTTCAAAATACATAGATAAAAATATATTTAATCCTTTTGATTAGGGTAAGAATACCTTGATTAACGAAAAATAAAATAGAAAAAAAGTAATGACAGTTACACAATTTTAATAAAACTCGCAAAGAATCTCACACTCGTGTATGCTGCGTGCAAAAAGCCTTAAAGTCAACGGTAATCATAGTTTTGTGAAGTGAAATTAGTTTTTGACTAGTATTTTTAAGTTGGGAATATTCATGGTACCGTGGCAAGATAAAAATAAAATAAAATCTCTCTTACTAATAGAGTCTTGTTCACTTGATTGAATAAAGTGTGACAACTATCGTATATATCTTGGTGTTGATTTCAATTTTGATCAATAAAAAATATAATTTTTCATTTATTTATGATATTGATAAGTATATACAATATTTATAAAAAAATAGATAAAAAAAAGACACAATTAAAAGAGAAAATAATTAATATTATCTTGAAATTTTTAATAAAAAAACATATAAATAAGAGGATATTCTTCCTGTTAAGAATAAACATAAATATAAGAAAAATTTAGTTTCTATTTCATAATAAGTGTCATATAATAAAAGAAAAAACAAGTCTCAATATAAATATCATTTCAAATTTTTTATGTAAAATTAATCAAATTTTCATTTATACGTTTAATAATATTTTTTTAAAAGTTATTATTATGTTACATTGTTTCAAATAAAGAAAATTAATAATTTCCTTTTCATTTATAAATTTATAACATAATAAGGGAGTTATATATTATAGTACCTTTATAAATTGAGGTGTTTTAGTTTAACCAATTTTTTAAATCAATAAAAATGATGTAAAAAGCAGTTTTTTTCTCCTTTTTACTTTTCACTTTTTTCCCCCTCTATACTAAGTAATGTGTTCTTGTTAAACAGATAATTTAAGTAACTTATTTTTTCTTCTCACCAAATAGTAGCTCAAATGTTTTGAATTGTTTTATAGAAATCAAATTAATTTATAAAAAAATACAGTAATATTTATTTGTTAAAATACAAGAAGATTTTATGATTTTTTCATTCAACTTACTTCTCATAATTTACACACTAAAAATATCCTTACTGAAGTCAAATGTTTGGTATATATTAATAATTTAAATATATATATATATATATATATATAAAAAATCAAATTGTTACGAGAATAAAAGAGATTTCCAATATGAAAAAGATATAATATTTTTTAGGTTAAAAACTTAATTTGGTGTCTTATAATTTTTTTTGTTTCAATTTAGTACTACTTTAATTTTTTGTTTCAATTTGGTCTCCAGTAATTTAAATTATTGCAATTTGAGACTTCCGTCCAAATAATAATTTAAATATATATATATATATATATATATATATTTAAATAGAAAAGATAAATATCTTGAAAATCAAACAATTTTAAAACTAATTGTTCACGTATTTAAAAAAAACAAAAATAACTCCAAAATCCTTTAAATATATAAGGCGGTAGAATTCCTCTAAGATGAAAATTTTGTAATTAGTAATAGTAAAAGAATGATTTGTAATTAGTTGCTTTGAATAGAAATTATCAAGTTGATTTTAATAGTGAATTCAGTATAGATGACAAGTCCTACTCTAACATTCAATTATTTTTCTACGAAAACCCGATTTTGGAGGGAAATGCAAGCGAAGACGAGACATTAAAAACAAAGGAGAATATTTAAACTTGTCTAATGGACCTGTTCTTAAAATTAGCATCTTAATACAATAGTATTTGACTTATTGTAAAAACTAAAACTACAAATAATAGTTCGAGTTGTAAATCTACATTACGTTGGTTTCCACTCCTCACAGGGATATGGGTAGGAATAGAACACTCTTCACCATTAAAAAGAACCTTTGAAGGGTACCCATCTCCTTTTGCAATGTGAAGGCCTGGTGTATACTTCTTAGTAAATGAAATAACAGATTGTTGTTTTCCTGGCACCTTAGGGTTTGATGTATTGTCAAGAGCTATCAAAAAGTTTGCTCCTTGCAACCCTTGCAAGAAAATAGTATGGTTGAGCTTTGGAAGGAATGTTCCATTGAAAGAATACACTTTTTCATAACCACGAGCAGCCCTCTTGAATTGCAGTGCAGTGAACCAATTCTCATAATTCCTAGTCTGCCAATTGAAGAGAGTGATTCTAGCACTCCACCCACCTTTGAAATCTGAAGCCAAGTGCCAGTTTATGCTGACTCCACAATTGTCTCCACATGGCAATCTTTTTGGGATACTAAAATGCTTAAGTTTGGCCCAAGCAACTGTCTTTGCTGACCTATTATCAAAGGGTACAAGAAGAGCTTCTGGAGGGAGAAGCATTGCAGGTGAATTTGGATTACAACGTTTTTTATTAGTATCAACATTAGTATCATCACAACCACAGGCACATGTGTTACAGGGAATTACAGACTCGTTGTAATAAGCAGAGAAAGAAACGCAACAACGAGTTTTCCTCTTGGTTGGCTTAGTGATATTGCACACTATTTGCCAACTTGAAATGGCATAAACTGTTGCTTCAAGTCCCCTAGGCTCGGGAAATTTCGCAGGTTCCACTCTAATAGGTGGCCCACATTTATAATCTGGGTTTAGAATGCCCATTATTTTCCATTTCTCTGGAGGGTAGATTGCTGTTTTATTCATGTCTGGTGGAATTTTGAACACTTGCATGTTGAAAATGGACTTGGATTTGGATGGATCCATGTGGAGAGGTAAAAGAGTTCCGTTTCTGCAACAGTGAGGTACCTTTCCTATTTCAGGGTCCTCAGCTTTCTCTGGAGGCAAGTCACTGATTATTGGATTCTTTTGACAGTTCATGACTTTAGAGAAATCCATGCCCTTGTAATACTGTCCTGCATCACCAAAGACGCAACCTGAGTAGTCTATGTCACGTGTGAAAGCACCTTTCATGCTGTATATAAATTCTCCTCGTGTCCACTCCCATGTCAAGTTCCAATGATCCATGCGTCCCAAGAGGTGATTATTCTCCATGGTCACTTGAACCATGTAATTATTATCAAACACTTGATTAACGTCATAGGATATGGAAAGATCCCCTTTTTGGCGTCTCAAGAATTTTGTCTTTCGAAGTACAGCCTTGAATTTTGGATCTTTTTTACAACACGCCCACATTGAACTCTCTAAGGAACATAGTTAATTTAGAACTCAAACAAGTAATATATATAACACATAGAAGAGAAAAAGGTAATGCATGATCATGAATAGTTAATGAGATTTTCGGTCATATTATATTTATATTCTGAAAAATATATTATATATGAATATACTACTTATGTTACATAAAGATATCTATCTAGCTTTAATTTTTTAAAAATCAATTTTATAAAATTGAGTTATTTAACTTTGTTAAACTGAGGGAATGAGTACTCACTACGGACACTTGGTTGGGGGCACTTGTATCCATCATTTTCCAACTTTATGGTTTTAGGCATAGGAACTGTAGGAGGCTTAACTCCAAACTGGGTGCCAATAAGGTTAATCATGGCTCCAATCTGTGAAAAATCCATTGCTGTGTTGATGGAGCTATCCAAATCTGGCACAGAAGTTCCAACAAAGGTGGTGCCATTTCCTACCAAAGCAGGGTAATCAGTCCCATCTAATATATTGCCACCATCGGCAGAAATTAGAATCTCATCATGTTGAAACCCTATGAACAACTTCCATGCTTTAACCACATCTTTGCCTGTGTTGAGAACTGTTGCCGTGGAATTGAAGGCCCAAGACTGTGCTGTGGCGTTCTTCACACGAGGGAATTCTTTCCTTCGAGTGAGAAAGTCGTAGGAAATGAAAACTCCGTTACAAGCTTCTGCTGCTGGAGGCAAAGCCTCGGGGCCTTGGCCTTCACACTCGTGAATTACACATGAAAGAAGGAATAATAATACCACTAATGATAGTGACAGATTTAGCAATAATGCACTTGTCATGTCCTTCTGTTTGCAATGGCCTTAGGATGATGAAATTGAAAGGTGGAGGCCGAGCTTGAGCTTCATTGTATGTTGATTGTTAGAGCAAAAGAAATTAATCTAGAAGGAAGGAATGAAGAAGAGAGAAAGTGTAGGAGTAGAGGCATGGAGAGGAAGGAAGTGAGGTGCATGGAAAATGGAATATGGGTGAAGAATTAGTCACACGGGAACCTCAACCTCAAGGTGTGCGATGAATTTGGCGGAGGCAACGAGTTTTAAAATTTCTATTTTTGGACTTCACTCCTAGTAAAGTATCAAATTCTTTCCTTGTGTCTTGGGATAGACAAAGTGGAGAAATTCATATAGTTCCTTCTATTTTGGAAGACAAAATGGAGATCACTTAAGTTAATTAAACAAAATTTATGGAAAAAAAAAAAAACTTGCAATCCTTGGAATCAAGTAAGGTTGTCTAAGAAATTTATAGTTATTTTTTCTTTCATAATTAAAAGATATAATTCATTTGTAATGGATCGATTTATTTGATGAATAAAATAATATTTTTAATCACAAATTTATGTGCAAAATAGATTGAATTCCAATCCTAAAAAGTTAAGAAATTATTAAATATAATATTTAACTACTTGCTTTAATGACTTTCTTATAAATTTGTAATTTTAATAAAGTATATTTTTAACATTTTTTAATAGAATGATTTACTTGTCAAAAATATGAATAAAATGATTACTCGAGTTTTTTAAACAGCTATTATGAATGTGTAAGATGAGAATAAGAATTAAAAAACATGAAAAAAAAATATTCAAGATTTATTTGATAGTTATGAACATTGAACAATGTTTAGGACAACATTAACTAACCGTTGTTAAAGTTAAAATTAAATTTATATTCTTATTAACAAAGCATGGTAATATAGTCTTAATTCACACGACTAAATAATAATTGGAGAGATTTATCATACATGTACATATACTTTGAACTGTAAATTATTTATTTGATTGCAAGCGCATGAGTTAAGTTAAAGATGATTTTATTTTATATGTAAGATACATTACATGCATGATGCATGGCCCCTCCAAGGCTATTTTACTCAATGTAATAAACGACAGTTACAGCCTTACAGGCCTTCAATGAAGTTGACCCCAGTGTTCTTCAACCAAACATCACCTTGGATAAACTGTCTCACCCTAAACTTGCTGGCTTCTGTAGCAGTTTTGATGATATGATAACAAGACCAATTCACTCTCTGATTGATGCCTCCACCTGGTCCATTGTTCATGTACTCTCCATAATACAATGTTTCCAAATATGACTATCCCCAACCGCGGCTGCATGCATAGGCCCATTACTATGAGGTTTATGTTCTAAGGCCCATTGCAATAACTGCAATGGTTTGCTTATTGCAGTTTTATTGTTGGGTCTCGTCTTCGAGACATGATGTCTTCGTCCAAACCAAAAAAGTGAACTGTGAATCTTTGTGTTCTTTTAAACGTTCTGGAAAAAGCTCAAATAATGTCTTTGAACAAGAAAAAACTATTGATGTTTTGGTCCTCGTTCTGTTTCTAGTTACGCCATAAAAAAGTAAAATAAATAACATTAATCAACAAACAATAAACAATAAGAACAGCATAAAAGAAAATGTTAGATATGTTGTAACTAGATTCTCTAGCCCTCAGCAGACTTTTAAAAGATATATTCAATTAATATTGGTCGTTAAAAAATTGGTGCTATTGATGTTAAGTACTAAAAGTATATCTTTCTAAAATTGACAATAATTACTTTAAAACCATTAAATTCTAATATTTAATAATATAAATCTTTTACATTCATATCCGTTAAATTATAATATTTATCATATAAAAATATAATAAGCGCTTTCATTATACTATAAAACCTATAATTTTCTTATCACAGTCAAATAATTAGTATTTGCCTTTTCATTTTAAGAATCAAATTCTTATTAGAGAAAAATTTTAAAATACAAGAGCTGCAGTGAATCAGAGTAATTCATGGGATTAAGAATAAGATGGATAAGAATGAAAATAAATTATTATAAATTTAAACTGTAACAATGTTGAAAAACAATTCCTCTTATTAGTACGTATCTTTTAAATTTTTAATAGCCTTTTTTCTATTAAAAAAAATAAATTGTACGTAGATGCTAACTAGCAAGAGCAGTGATAGGAAATAGTATGGGGCAAAAGCAGAAATGCAAAACACAAATGCAGAGAATGAGTAGGGAAGGTCCTTAGTCCTTACCAACAGTAGCCGTCCTAAAGGTGCATTACATTCTTCTTTTTCTTACCAATTTCAACATTCTCTTTGTACGTTCCTTTTTTTACATGGATAACATACCTTGTCTTGCTCTTGTTGGGTGCGAATGCCACAGCCTCAGCAACAGTTTTGAAGTTACCACTTCCATCCTTAGCCACCACAATATTGGCCTTCATATTCTCACCAGAAGACTCCAACAACCTTCGATCCTTACTTCTCACCCAAGATGGAAAGTCCTCACTTAGTGTCTCATCAATGATATGTCCAACCTTTGGAATTTTTGGAGGCAATACAGCAACAAGCATGGCTAGAGAGGTTCTTGATCTAGATATCAAGTCCTCAAGTTCAGCTACCATAAGGGCTTTTGCTGGCTCCTCTAATCCATCCAAGCAACTTGCATGGTTAGTGAGCACACTGCTTAGCCATGTGTGTGCATCTTGTAGCGAATCGCTGGTATTTTTTGTTAGAGCCACCATTGAGTCCCAAACTCTGTCCATGGACAAGTCCATCAACTCTACACAATCCCGCAAAGCTGCTTCTTCCCTTGGATTGTTGATCCTCAGTTTGATAACATTGGCTGTGTCCATGACTTTCTCAATATGTGATCGATGTTGATTTCAAGTTGAAGAAAGAGGTGGATTTGATGAGATAAGAACCAATAAGGGTTGATGAACATAGCACAGTAGCTACAAAGAGGATTAACCCGATAGTTTTAGAGACAGATTTTGTAGACTTGTCTAACACAGATTGTTGGGTAGCCATATTTCTCAATATGGTTGCTCTTGGACTGGTTATCTGTTTGTTTCACTGTCCTTATATAGACTAATAAATTTATAAATTCAGCTATATGCATAGAATGCTGATACCGTGCCACGCGTGTGACTTTTTTCTATATTCTGTTTTCCACTGATGAAAGAAAGTATGACATCTTTTTCAGTTCACTACAAAAGATTCAGGAGCCTAATACAATTATAAAAATAAAATTCAAAGTTTGGGACTTTTAGTTAATGCTTTTGTCAAATAAATTAAAAAATAAGTTAAATTAAAGAGCTAATTAATAATCACGTACATTTCATCGATTACAAATATCCCTTGCTGTTTTTCACACGCAGGACATTATTATCATAAAGCTGGGGGCCCAAAGTGTATAAATTAATTTTGCATGATTTTGGTCGAGTGAAATTTTTTTCTTAATTTTTTAATGTCCCTAAAACTTAAAATTATAGTTTTTTTTTATATAAAATGATAAAATTTTAGTTTTAGTCTTATAAAATATTTTTCTTTAATTTTTATTCATCTAACATCTAAAATTACTATTTTTATCCCTAATATTTATTTTATTTAAAAATATCACGTGTTGATATAATACTAGATATAATTATGAGTGTTATTTAGGATCGTCACGTTACCTAATAAATACATGAATAGTTAACAAAATTATATTATAATAGAAACTAAAATCAGTAATTCTAAATTTTAAAGGGATAAACATATAAAAAAAAATTACAAACACTATGATTAAAAGTTATTTATTTCGTAGGAAAAAAATATATTTAGATTAATTATTTCTTATAAAAAAAAATAAGTGGCCACAACTCAAAGTAATGAACCCGATATTTTGTTTTATTATTAGTGAAACGTAATGAATTTTAACATGCAAAATATAGTATTGTTTTCGGTAACATGGTCTTGCTTTATTGGTGTAAAATATTTACTTGATAGCAAAATAAAATTTTAAGTTGCTCGTTCAAATTTAAAACCATGATTTTTGTCTTTCTTTAACAATTAAAATTATATAAAAATATTAATATTAATTATATCGGAAATGAATTGAGTTTTTTAAACCACTATCATTTAATTATATGTTGACTAATTTTTGGATAAAAACTTTCGCTATTTCATTAGAAAATAAATAATGTGCATTATTTTAGTAATATAGCATTTAAAAATAAAATAAAAAACTAAAAAAATTATGTAAATAAGATTTAGTAATGAAATAAGTATCATTCACTCGTTTAAATAAATACAAATGAAGATTATTTTATGTGTTATTTTTAAATTTTTATTTCTATGTATTATGTCAATAAATATCACATTATTTAAGTGATAATAAGTTATCAAAAAATGTCAAAAATTAACAACAATGAAAATTAAATTGTCAATAGAACCAATATTTTATATTTTTTAAAATAAAATACTAAACATCCCTATTTTAAAATAGAGTGACCAAATTCGCATATTAACAAAAATAAAATGGTTAAAATTACAATTTATTCTACTTGAATTTAATATTTATATGTATGGACAAATTTAGGAATTAATTTAGAAGGTCTAATTTATTTTTTTATTATTGTATGATTCATATAAAATATTTACCTACTTTATTAACAAGTAATTAAGGAAACATGGCTAATAATTTTTAGTAGAATTTTCCTTCTAACATGTACATCCAAGTATGTATAAGAATAGTCATCTTTCATGAAGAAGGCATTTTAATCATAATTTTAAAATTCGAGTCGGACCTAGATCCAATTGCCTTACCGATTTGAGAGAGTTTTTGGATCAGACGTGTCAATGACCCAATGATGATGCAATTAAATCGGTGTTAAATTCAGTTTAACCCGTGATTTTTTGGATCATACCAAACATGGGTTTCGGTGTCATAGATTTTGAAATTCATGTTGTGAAAGTATCAAAGTTTCCTTTGATGCAGTTGCAGTCCAATACCCAAAGCATACCTTTCACAGGCTTTAAGTTTGTATAAATATCGCTTCTTTAGGCACTGCTTGAGGTTGTCTTGCAAAATATAAGCCTAAAAACAGTTCACAGTAAGAGTCAAACCAACTAAATCTCTACATAGGCCTGTTTAGTCCGCGGCCCATGCACAGGCTCTATTTTTTTTTAAATATTTATAACTATAACAAAGTTTTTGGCTCGAATTTCGCAAGCTTACCCTACAAGTCTTAAGGATAATCTATTTATTAATAAGTTGTTTTTATGTATTTTTTTTAAAATATTTATATCAATTTTTATGTATTTTTTCTCTCATATTTTCATATGTTAAAAAAAGGAAATAAATCTCATTGATTTTTTTAATATTTATAAAAAAAAATTAGATATAATTTGACACATTTATCTACGAGTTTTGTGAATCGAATACAGGCTAAAAAAATTAGTCTATTTATTTCGTAAAATAGATTTATCTAACTTAATAAAAATGTAAATTTCCCAAGTCATACCTTAAACGAGTCTCATTAATTCATGTACAATCCCCTACAAGACTAAACAAACCACTTTTACCATGTAACTTTTTGATAACATATCTAACAACTAAATTATACATAATATATTAAATAATATTTTATTTATACCAATTCATATAATTTAACTATTAATCTAACTAATAACTCATTAACCTAATACCTTTATTGGATTGATCACTGATCAATGTTTTAAAACATCGCTTTTTAATTGAATAAGTAGTCAGTAATTGATAAATAAAAAGACATACTAAGAAGTGTTCCGGCAAGTATATACTTAACATTCAAATAACACGTGTCAAAAGATAAATAAAATTGTGTAATTTTTTTTTTTGGTAAAGAAAATTTTGTGTAATTTAAATGTTCTTAATTATTATGCGTTAAAAAATTGAAATTAATTTTTTTTAGACACAGTTTATATCACACAATTTTGCAAGTTTAAATCTTATAATACACTTCATCAGCCTTTTTGTCTTGGGCTTTCTCCAAGTTTCACCTCAACAATGAATTCCCTTTAAAATCAAAAGAAAAATAAACTATTGAATAAAACATATACAAGTATTTAACATCATGAAAAACCTCAATAAATTGTAGTTAATTTTTATTTAAAATATTAAGTAATTGAAATGATTTAATAAATATAAATGGTATATATTTTCATTCTTTCAATGTAGTGGGTCTATACGTTATCTACACATTTTTTATCCATTAGAATATTCACACATATTAACTTCTGTAGTTTATATTTTCTACTGAAAAGTGGATTGGTTAGTGGGTTCCATAATTAGGTTCCACGTACTATGTCGACATGCCACATGTTAAATGTATTTGAGGCGAAGAATATTATTATATCGCTTTTAAAAGCTTACGCAACATCGTCTTAAAAAGAAAGTAGAAGAATTATGGCACCGTTTGACTTAATTTTACCTTTATTATCCAATTATTTGTGCATCGTACATGACTTTTTTTCCCTCTTCATATTTATGTCTTTCTTCCGTAATTTGTGTTCCCACTTGCAACCTCATTTGCATTCACATTCTTTTTATAGTCACTGTTTTCTTTTATTTTTAATTTATCGTTATACATAAGAGTTTGATTAATTAAAATAAAATCAATTAAGCTTTTTTTTAATTTTTTTTAATTTATAAAACTTGAATGAAAAATCTACTTAATTTTGAAACTGTAATTATCATTGCAAACAACACTAAAGATTGCATCTAAATGTTGTATTCTACATTTTTTTTTTTAATTTGCACTAAGATGTTCAAAATCAAAGGATAAGAGTTCAAAATTAATTGAAATTTTTTTTCCGTAGAATTAATTGAGAACTTAAAAACTTAAAATTATAATTACTTAAAATACAACTTCTAATTAAATTAAAAATAATACATAAAAATATTTTAAACATTTTTTCTTCTCTTATTATAAAAAAATAAAAAAATAAAAACATTTTAAAATTAATTTATCTTCATACTCTTTATAATTTTAAATATCAAAATATACATAAAAATACGTTAAACATTATATTAAAAATGTTAAAAAAAAATCTCCTCATCAAATCCTCCAATTTATTTTGTAATAAGAAGTGCGGCAAGAAAACTACCTATTGTTCTCAATGGAGTGTCGATATTCATATTTTCAATCATGTTATGACTTAGTCACGAAAAATATAAATCATTACTATTGAACATGTGTGATAGTGCTTAAGATAATTTCCATCAGATTTTTTCCCCTCAACATATGAGGAGTATTTTCTTATACGTATAAAAATATTAGATTGTGTGTTTTACTTCTCAAAATTTGAAATACAAAAAAATATATTATTTTTACACGAAACATTTTGACATTATTGAAAATTTTAAAATGAAAATTTTAGTTTCTCATGTCTAATAGTTATTTAAAAAAGAAATTTTCAAGAATATAATTTCTTAAAAATTATTTTTATTTTATTTTTTATAAAAATATTCGCATAGAAAAGTTGAGAATCTAATTTTTTCGAGTTAAGATGAAAATTTTATGAATATAAAAAGATGACAATATCCATTTTTAAAACAAAATATCTCTCTCACACTTTCACTCTCTTTCTCTCTCTCAATCCCTCTCTCTCTCACTCACTCCCCTTCTCCTTTTCTTCCTCCTTCTATTTATCTTTCTCCTCACTTTAAATAAATATATATAATTATTTTATTTTAATAAAAGATGTTTATAAAAAATATTTATAAACTTAAGAATATACTATTATAAACAAATATAAAAAAAATTTATTTACGTAAATTATATATAAATATTTACATGAATTTTTATAAGTAATCAAATATATTTTAACTATTTTTAGAAATAATA